GATTCAGATAATGGATCAGGCAATTCAGGTGGAATCATGAGGCTTCTTAGGATAGCCTGCAACAATTAATTAAAACTATTCTTAATGCACGGGTTCTCATTTCAAAACTTTTAATGTAACTGCTGTGTTATTAACTACCACCAACTCGTAAATCCTCAGTAATAAACGCTAATTAACGAAAGCTCCTAAGCGTGTTTGATTATCTCTGACAGACGGAAAAATAAAACTGAATTAAGTCAGAAGCATCTGCTTCTGATAAAGTAAATAAACTTAAACAAATAAAGCTGGTGACAAACCAGTTGCAGTTCCATCTCTGATTCAGATGATAAATCAGGAATGAGATCAGGCCTTTCATGTTCCGGCTGGGTGTTCCTTTCAGCCTCCTTCAACAAATAAAACATTTTCTTAAAGTGCAGATCACCCTGGGTTTCTTAAAATTTTTAACGAATTCTATGCGATTTCAGCTTTAAAACAAGGTACAATTTTCGTGCATCGCATAAAACTAACGGCTTTTATGCTCAGTTAAAGAGTACGAAATTTGCCTATTTGAGCTGGGGGAGGGGGGAGGGCGTGTACGCTGCGGCTATACGTAGGCTAAAAACAATGACGTAATTTGAGGCATTGTTCTTAGCTCCTCCCCGCTTTGTTGTAGCTTCTGCCTTAACTCCTCTTCAATCGATCTCTTTCTATTGTACTCTTGAATAAACTGTTGACTGGCCAAAGGCTCTCCAGCGTAGGAAATTACAACATCTTCATCTTCAGCCCCTGCGCCACCTCGCGTAGTTGGGTCATAATATTCGACTTCGTCTTGGAAGTTTTGCTACATATTCGGTGCAAACCCAGGAATAAAATTCCATTCTGAGCCATCAGAATCGACACTTGACAAGCTTTCCAAGCGAGAAATCTTATCTTAGACGTCGGTTCAACGAAGACTAAGCAACGACGGACGGCAACGAGAACGGCAAAAAGAAATAGGTTTGGATTAATAGCAAAACAACCGGGCTTTTTTGCACGTGCATGTCGCTTTTGTACATTTCTTTGCCGTTGGCCGTTGTTGCATAACTCCAGAAAACATTCACCAACATTTCACAAAATTGAACGACAAAGAATGAAAGCCATGTATATTAAAAACAGCGTGGATTCACTTTTTAAGAGACGTTTTCGCGCCGTCGTCGTCGTCATTGCTAAGCTCCCTAATAAGTCAGGTCCAACACGACGTGGAAATCTGACATGCGTGCTAAGCATATTAAGGGGAGAACAATGCCTCATGATCAAAATACGTCACTCGCCCCAGGCCCATAATGTCACGGCCTATGATATTACTTTCACATATTTGAAAATCTGAGAAAATGAGATCTAGCTAAAATCAAAATCAATCTGCGGCAACGTTTATTACAGGTTTTCTATTTTTATTCCATTTTTTTAACAAATTTGGGGTGGTAGGCACTTTAACACCATTTTGCGCTTGCTTTGCACTGATTCTCATTTAAATTTAAATTATCGACCACAAACTCGAAAATTCTCCGTAATGGAGGTTAACAACAATGTGTAATGATGATTTGTTTGTAGCCTAAATAACTTCGTTTCACGCTATGAGGTTTTTTTAATTTTATCACTGGTTGAAAAGGAAGGTTTCGGGAATCCGCCGTAATTACCTCATGAAGAGAAATACGCTCCAACTCAGGCAGAGAGACTTGCAATTCAGTCTGTGACCCCATTTCCTGTGAAGACAAAGAACTAAGTTCATCTCAAAAAACTATTCAGTAACAACCTAGCTGACGATACAACTTTGCGTGAATATTTCTACGGTTTGCGTTTCTAGGTAGCTTGAGCACGGTTTCCTTTCTTACTATGAGAGTCGGATGATGAGGTGAGGGGGGGAAAGGGGGGTAGGGTTCTACAGGGACAGTTCTGATAGATCTGCTGATATTCTTGAATACAGTTCGAAGCTTAAATGCTAGAAGTGCCGCGTGTTGTCACTAAAATCGCCAAGTACATTTACAAAAATTACTTAGTAAATAAGGCGAACAACGGATATCGTGGGATTATTCTCACCCTTAGGATATTAGTTCCTACGTCAACTCATCGCAAACGGGTAGTTCTAAAACATCGATAATGTTAAAATATCATTTGAAAAAGTGGTCGCGTTCGCTTATGAGAGGAGATCATTTACAAGAGGCTCGCCACCTTACAAAAGCTTTGACTGAGAGAAGTTTGGTACTTTAGAAAGAAGGTCGCATACTAGCAATGGTCGCACATGGAGGCTTGACTGTCATAACATACACAAAAATTTAAATGAAGATATGATCGTCACAGTGGTAATCGCAATTTAAGCAATTGCAAATGAAGTCCCGTCTTAAGCTTGTATTGTAAAGCAAAATCCTGCTGAAACCAACTGGTAACACACCCACTTTTGATTTAGTTTCTGTGGTTTAGAAAATGGCTGTTCACCCTGTCTCAAATAACACACTTACACTTTATAACACCATCTACCCTCTTAGAGTAACTGTTTTCTAGGCAAGGTTTAAGCGATTTTTACAATTTGGATTACGCCCATAGTTGTACAAGATCATACAACTTGTTCTACTTTTGTACATAAGATAGACCAAGCAACGGACAAACCAAATCTTTATATAACCCACCTGTTCCACCTGTTTATTGACAGGAATCCAACATTAATTAGTTCAAGGGAAATAGAAACTTAAATGAAACAGAACAAAGATAAAATAAATAAACTAAACTAAGAGAAGTGAATGACTAACCTGTTCCTGTTCCATCTCTGATTCAGATAATGGATCAGGCAGTTCAGGTGGAATCATGAGGCTTCTTAGAATAGCCTGCAACAATTAAATAAAACTATTCTTAATGCACGGGTTCTCATTTCAAAACTTTTAATGTAACTGCTGTGTTATTAAGTACCACCAAATCGGAAATCCTCAGAAACAAACGCTAATTAACGAAGACTCCCAAGCGCTTTTAATTATCTCTGACGGACAGACAAATAAAACTGAATTAAGTCAGAAGCACATGCTTCTGATAAAGTAAATAACTTAAACAAATGAAGCTGGTGACAAACTAGTCTCCCTCGCAGCCGTTTTTTAGTAACGATACTAAAAACGGCTGCGAGGGAGACTAGTGACAAACCAGTTGCAGTTCCATCTCTGATTCAGATGACAAATCAGGAATGAGATCAGGCCTTTCATGTTGCGGCTCGGTGTTCCTTTCAGCCTCCTGCAACAAATAAGAAAACATTTCTTTAAGTGTATATCACCCCAAATTTGTTGCAATTTTGACGAAATTTTATGCGATTTCAGCTTTAAAACGAGGTACAATTTGCGTGAATCGGATAAAACTAACAGCCTTTATGTCCAGTTAAAGAGTACGAAATTTGCCTATTTGAGTGTAGATAGTTCCCTAGGTCGAGTGAAACAACGACGTAATTTGACATAATTTGACATGACTTACCATGACATACCACCTTCAAATATCGACAGTGAGTTATCAGATACGATATTAAGGATGTAACTGGGCGTGGATATTAATACTGGACATACTGTCTTGTTGTTTCCTAAGTATATAATGCGCGCTATTTACAATTTTAACCACGCCCATGGTTGTACGGTATTATACAACTTATTTTACTCATGAACTTAACTTGAGATAGACCAATGCCCCATTCACACCAAAGCTTAAACATGTTTAAAAGGTGTTTAGTTAAACACGGTTTAAATTTGTTTCGTTTATAAAAGCTGCCTACTGTATTTTTTTCGATTGCAAATTTAGTGCAATTACGTAACGCGTAAAAGTTCATTTGAATTTTGGTTAAAAGCCTGTGTTTTAGTTTACTTTTGCTGTTTTTCATTCACCTTCAAAATCTAATTTAATTAAACATGTTTAGTTGGTGTGAATGAAGAATAAGCAATGGACAACGCCCCTTCCTTTTTACAACCTCCTTCTCCTGATAATTATTGCACAGTCCCGGCTCAAACAAAACCTTTCTAAAAAAATATCAGCAACCAACCTGTTCTTGATCCTCCTCTGATTCATATGATGCCTTTCCATCTTCAGATTCATTGACTTTTCCCTCGTCCTGGCAAAAATCATACATTTATACTAAACACCATCCATCTTCTATATGTGACTCTAACCTCACTAGCGTACTTATTTAGAACGAAAACACATTGGAATGAAAGAAAACCCTGAAATAATGGTTCAGTTCTATTTCAAATGACTTTACGTACTACTATACCTCGACTAGAAGTGTAACACTTTGTCTTTTGAAGGCCAGGATGGAAACGGATTACAACTTGAAAAAATTGGGCCAACTTTTTCAAGTTTTCACTCCTGTGTGCCGTCACGTGATTGAACACGTGAACAATCATTTCTCTGTTTCATGATTTCCGCCTGCCGTTGTAAGACATTTTAACATTTTTGCCACAGATCTTATGATTGTAATGTGAATGACTTATTTAATATAAACAAAAGAGGTGAGCTAATTACAAGGTGCGAACCCTTATATTAGTGACTGGACTTGCTGCAAAACACTGTAGCCATCAAAACCAGATGGAGAGTTATCCATCACTTCATCGAAGTTTACGAGAACAAAAAGAACTCCTTTTTTAACTCATAGATAAGGTGTCTGCTTCTAATTTCTTCGTTGCTCAACTAACTGTTAAACAAAACTCGTTTTTCAAACATCAATAGGTCTACTTGGCACAAAATGTCAGAGATATCTTCCCCAAACACCGAGATTAAAAACAGGGGATCTGTCACTTTTGGCTAGCCTGTTCCAAGCATTCAGATAGTGGGGAAACAGGCTACTCTTGGACTAAAATCAACTGAGTGCGACCTGCGAGAGAACAGCAGCCAATTTTTATCTGTAGTTTTTTTTTTTTTTTAACAGAACCCGAAATCAATTTAGTTCAAGGGAAATAAATACTTTGATGAAATAGAACAAAGATAAAGTAAATAAACTTAAATAAACGAAGTGGATGACTAACCTGCTTCAGTTCCATCTCTGATTCAGATGATGAATCAGAAGTGAGATAAGGCGATTCAGGTAAAAGAAAGCGGTTCCTTAGAATAGCCTGCAACAATAAAATAAAACTGTTCTCAATGCACGGGTTCTCAATCTAAAACCTTTTAACGTAACTGCCAAGATTAACTACCACCAACTCGGAAATCTTACTCGGACGCTAATTAACGAAGGCTCCAAAGCGTGTTTGATTACCTCTGACGGACAGAAAATAAAACTAAATAAAGTAAATAATGCATTAATCAACTGCAACTCCGCCCCCCCGACCCCCGCGGCATAGCAGGAGATAGCGGGGATTTAACGCGGTCAATGTTTAACACACACATTTAACACACATTTAACATGTTCGCCCTGGTGGCGGGGAAATTAACAAAATACCTGTTTTACCCTAGTCTCCTTCGCATCCGTTATTAGGGTCGTCACGCAACGCTCCTACCACTAGTGGGGAGGAGCCCCTAATAACGGCTGCGAAGGAGACTAGTTTTACCCAGGTCATGAGCGGGGATTAAACAGTAATACCAATTTTCGGAAGCGGGGACAGAAGCGGGGATTTAACATGACTGACTAAAGGAAAAGCCTCGTTTACAAAAGTTTTGTATGGCGGCAGAAGAGAGATGATGCTGCAGAGAATGATAATATCAAAACAGAGGAGAAACAGGGTAAAAAGCACAAAAACAGGTTGCCCTAGTCTCAGACACAGAAAGAAAGTGTATAGAACGTCCTACACATTGGTCGAGCGTTGCCTCACAAGGACTTCTCAAGTCTCATTTGAGTCTCATTTGTTCACCTCGTACGTAAACGAAGATAACTTAATCCCAAAACCCTTTCTAAACTTCCCGATGCCTCTCCCATTACTTTCACGATTAGAAATTGAAGAAAGACAGAGCTGTTTCCCTTCCCAAGGGGTACTCCGGGTAATTCTCGGAGGGGGTGTGCCGCCTAGTTCTCCAAATTCTGACCCTATTTCAGACCAAAAAGTGTCATTTTCCACACCCGTTTTCAGACCTGACATTTAGGCAGAAATTATGTCAGAATTACAGTCAACCGGCCCTTTATAGCGGACACTGTAGGGATCTCAAATTAGTGTCCTCATTAGCAACAGTCCGTAATAGCGAAAGTTTATTTACGTAAAACGTCTGTAATTTGTTTTTGCCGGGGAATTTAGCTGCTGTCCGTATTATCGGGGTGTTCGCAAGGCGAGAGTTGACTATACCTAAATGGCTTATATAAGGAAGTACCCCTCACCCCCAGGTTTCGCGTAAGATCCCTTGCCCTTACAAGTATACCATACAGAACTTACTTTTTTGTAAGCGATCTAATCACATTTTTCTACAGTGGCTCCAGAGGTCCGTTCTCAGGAATTAGGTAAGAAAAAATCCTCGAATTTGGAGGAACGCAATCGAGAGTTTCTATTAACAGGTCCGATGGATGGTTTGAATCTACCAGGTTTTAAGATGATGAATAACTTTACTAATTTAATTTAACTGTAACCCAAAATTAAAACCAAACCTGCTTGATCTCGTTTGGCTTAAACAAACCTGGTTCTTATATTGTTCTTTTTTTTAATGAATAAGCTTATTAATTTAAATTTCTACCAGATAAGGTTATCTCGTTTGGCCAACCTGGTTCTTATAGCCACTAAAAAGATTCTTGCCACGCGGGTTTTTACTGTATTAGAAAAACGGGTTTTACTGTATAAAACCTAACAGTATCACCAACTCGGAAATCCTCCGCAATGGAGACTTACAAATAAAGGCTCCTGAGCGTATTTGATGATCTCTGACGGCCAGAAAAATAGAACTGTTCACACAAACACTGAAAGTCTTACCAACATTAATAAATAAACTTTCACAAAAATAGGTGAGTGATGACTAACCTGCTCCTGTTCATGCGCAGATTCAGGTGATGAATCAGGAAAGAGGTGAGAGAACCAACTTTTCGAGTCGTCCTGTGATGGCCATTTATGTTCAGGTTCGGGGTTCCCTTTAAGATCCTGCAACAAAATACAAAACAATATTTAAAACTACCCATCTTCCTTTAATGAAGTGTGGACGTGTACACATTTGAAAACCTTCACTTAAAGTACAATGCGATTACAGTGACCAACGAAAGACAATTGTTTATATGACAACAACCTTGACAAGATGTACTAAGTTCAAAACAAGCCTCGCGCGCCCAAAGCAAAGATCAACAGTCAAAACTTGGCCTATATAATAAAAGGCAGTTTGTGACTGCCTGTGGCTACTGTTTTAGTTTTGTAGAATATATTGCAATAAAAAAGGAATGAAAATTGTAGGAAACAATAGAAATTCAGATTGTTTATCCATAAATATACTATCTTTGCTCTAGAAGGTATATATTTAAAAAACATCAACAACAAAACAAATAAGCAAACAAAACAAAAACGAAAAAACAAAAGAGAAAGACAGAGGGAAAAAAGAAACGCTACTGAGCAGCATTTGAACCCGGCACCTTGTCAAAAATTATACGAGCCCAAGGTTAATGTTTTAATAACAACTGACAAACTATTTTAAGCGTCTTTACAGTTATTTGCTGAGAGAAATTTTTCCTAGCGAAGATTTTGACTTCTCTTGCGTGATGATAAGGGATGTGGGGGAGGACCCTCTCCCTCCGGCGTTGCGTGACATAGAGAGAGAGAGACAGGGGAGGGGGGCAGAACTGCACTAAACACACGGTGGTTACGCCTTCTTTGTCTGGTATGTTGGTGTAGAGGCGAAGCGCTGAAGGTCAAAAACTTCCTTTACGACTAAGTTCAAGAAACGAGTGTTACCCGTCGCCAATATTTAAAGAAAGTTTAGAGAGGAGGGAGATTTACCCCCCCCCCCCCTGTACCTCACCCCACTTGGCGGAATTGGAAAGAGAAACGTTATCTTTCTCAAGGCGCATGAACAAGAAATTCGCATTCAAAATAGTGGAATCAAAATCAAAATAGCAAATCCTTTTTCTTTTCTTTTGAAAATATATTCAGCCTTACAAAACTCGCAGATCACAGTGTATCTTTTTGCGGGCGGGAATTTGTTACGTGATAAAACGAAAGGCGGGAAAATGTCATCACGTGAAAAATCATCCGAGGTGGATTTAACCAATCAGCTGCCGCCACGTCACTAGGCTTTGAATGACATCGTTTGTTGTTTTTGTAGTTTGTTCAGTTCGCTCTTCAACGGCAAACTGTTCAGGATGAACTCAAAATTTAATAAGAAAACACCAGGGAAATGTTACACAAGACAGGGATTCATCTCTTTTTACTCAGGAATATGCTAAGGAGTTGTTCAAAGCTCAAGGAAACATCATTTATAAGGATATTTCACGAAAGCCCAAAGCTCCGCAGGATTTGATTTGTATGGCGAGTGTTCTTGAAAAATTGAAAACAAGCTCATGCTATTTACGCGATGAAAATCATGCAGTGGACACTTGTGTTATACAGTGGAGAACAGCGAAGTGTTTACCTGTAACGAAAATTTGTTTGGTGTTGCTTTTAACCGTTGTCTCGAAGATACAATTTTTTTGGTGCGGGTTGTTACTTAAAAAAACCAACGCTTCACCGAACTGCAAGGACTAGTATTTACCAAAGAAACGCTCAAGAACTAACAAAAGAACAGCTATAAAAAAGACTTGTTTGTTTTTTGGACTTTCAAAGGAACTTCACTTGACTTAACGGATTTTATAGGAGCCTTGGACGATAAATGTGAAACAGTGAGTTCAATGTGTTTACTCTTTGCTTATTTGTTTGAATTGAACATGAACTGAACATCTTTCATTTGCTTTTATGATTGTTGTTTGTTACTTTATGAAAAGTTATGAATTAAAATTGATTCAGAAATTAATACTGTGGAAATTATATGATTTTGTTTTGCTGGAAGTTCTTGTTTTCACCCAATAATATCATCTTATGGCTGCTTGAAGATACGAAATTTCTCTTCTTGTCTTCAATTCCTTTTTTAATATCAGCTGAAGTTACTTGTTCTTAACGTTCTCAGTTAAAACATTTTATGGAGTTAGTTTAATCAGTTGAAAGAAATGAATTTGAAATGATACTTTGAATCTGCTAAAGTTTGTGATTTGATTTCAAAAGCAAATCTCGTGTTTTGTCGAGTATAAAAATGACAAAGATAGGAAAATGGCGAAAGGCAAGAGCTGAGTAGCAATAAACTGTAAACAAAGAATAAAGAAACAAATTGCGATAAAATTGAAAAACTTACGTGGTAGTATGACTCCAATACAGTGATATTTCCGTGCTGCTTGATGGCTGATGTGAGATTCATCACCTGCTGTGGAGTCATCTTCAATCCTGTAAGCCACAGTGCCTCCAGGTGAGGAGCGCAGCTGAGATGTTTTATCAAGCTGTCGACTCCTGCACCCAGAAGAGGATTGGATGACATGTCGAGCTCCTTCAAGTTTGGAAGATCTTGTTTAAATACTCTGCTGATGAACTCCACAGCAGGTGATGATGTTACATTGATACGACCGAGTGTTAATCTCTCCAGTTTGTGTGTTGTTGGGATGCTCCTCAGTAGAGACTCTGTTACCTCACCATCAAACACTTCACCGTATTCACCCAAAACCCGTATCACGTGTGGAGCGGTGATAAACGGCATCATCTCAATCAGCTGTTCCACTTCTGACCTGTTCACCCACTCAGCTACAATCCTCCGAACCCTGGAGAGACCATGACGCTTTGAACAACAGCTGCTGCTGCTCTCTTCACTTGACTCATCACCATTCATGTTTGTCTTCTTTGTTGTCTCTTCTAAACTAATTAACGTCTTTACCATTTTAAAAGGAAGAGGAATGCCATCATCTTCATTTTTTACAATTTGAGTAAAATAAAGGTGAGTGTTGTTTTCTTCTTTCATTAAAAAAAACTCGTCAACACTACGCCACGGAAATACATTCAAAAATTCTGATGCTTTCTGTTCTCCTGTTCTACTAACTATAACAGCGTTTAATTGCTGTACTAAACTAATTAAATTATTATAACTTTGCTCTGTATACTGGTCGCTATAAGAGAAAAATATGTACATAAGTGAAGCGGTAGTTTTAACAAAACTTTCCTTTGCTGCAATATTCAGCTGGTCAGGATTTAAAATGAACAAAACACCGCCTAGATTAGAAAGAAAAGTGGGGAAAAGTTCTGTTCTCGTGTCTGCTGAGCAGTAGAAGAATAACTGTGTACATATAGTTAAAAGATTTTTTTGTGTTTCTGACAAATCTTTGACTGACGGTGCTTGGTTGTCGAAGCTGTACTCTCCGTCTTCCTTCGCCGCCATTTCCAACAGATGAATCAAGATCTCGCGCGCGGCTTCTTCTGACATTTCAGCAGCAAATTTAAAAACTTCATTCAACTTGAAGATCTTTTCAATTGAGTCGAGTTTGAAAAGGGAATTGTTTTTACTTTCTCGAAATAACAGTTCTTCTTTTAGAAATAAAGAAGCCAAAAACTCCTGCATGGATTTGTGAATGAAGTGCACGGCTTTGGAGGGGTTAAGAGCGGACATGTTTAGCAGCTGAAACAACCCGGCCTCGATCAATTTGTCAGTCAAAACGTAATCCGGCAGTTTACTGAGAGGAAAATAAAGTAAATCTTTTAGAAGTGCGTCAAAGGCTAGTTCTCCTACTTTACAGAGTTCTTGTTTGTGATCGTCAACTTTTTCCGCCGGCTTTTTTTGTTTTTCCGACATGTGATTAAACATAGTCTGTAGAAACTGAAGGTACACCATCACCCGTGATGAGGGTAGTCCTTCACGATCCTTTTCCTTCCAAACTAAAGACAGCATTAAAAGTACAATAGGTATTTTTGCTACGTCCTCCAGACTTTGTTGTTTCAAATACCTGAAAAACTCTTTAACATCTTGATCATTTTTCAAGAATCTACGGGCGAACTCTTCTTGTCGCTCACGGTCGAAACCGTCGATCTCAAATTGAACATCGCTGGAACTTTTCAATCCATCTCCTTTCATGTCTCTAGACGTTATAATAACACAACAATCCCTCAACTGCTTTTTCTCCCAGATTTGAAGAACAGGTGATTGCCTTTCTGCGCTGTGTACGTATTCATCGTAGCCGTCCAAAATAAGCAACACGTTTTCTTGGTGGCGACGAACGTAATCGTACAGGTTTTTAGTGGAAACTGGGCCATCACTCGCGAGAAGATTAGCATCGTTCAGAATGGCAGGGACATCGTTGAGGTCGCAAACATCACGTAATTTGACCAAAAGTACGAGATCAAATCTTCCTGTTGTTCCTTTAAATCTGTGCTGGGACCAGTCGAATGTAGCTTTCTGCGTAAAAACGGTCTTGCCGATACCTGGTCGTCCGTGAACCAAAATGCGCTTGGGCGTATGATGAAGTCTTCCGCCGTCAAAAATGTCGGTGTACCGTTTAAGTTGTTTTTGTGTTAGTCCGCTGGGCTTCTTCTCATCCATAAGCCAAGACAACTGGGTGTAAATTTCATCGATATGAACGGCAGAGCTTTGGTCCCACGGAACGATTTTGACTTTGCTGTTGGTTTCATAAATTGATCGCAGCTGTTTCTGGCACTCCTCGAGGCAACGAGAATCTGTTGAGGAAAATTTTACGTTCCTTTTCAGGTAGGTAGTTGACGCACAAAATATAGGCCCTTATTTATATAAAATGATCAGATCAGCAAATATAAATAAAATTTCCATATTTAAAAACAAATTATCCTCAACTCATGATACACCAACAGAAATGTAAGTAACAGTGAATGTAAATATCAGGGCCCTAAGACACCAGAATATAGTGTAGGAATATAAATACTACGGTCAGAAATAGAAGGAATGCTCTTTATTAATTTAATTTATTAATTCATTTATCTATTCCATTTTCTTCTTTTTCGCCTGCTTACACACTGACTTTAATATGGATGGGGAGTTAACGAGAAAATCTAACAGTTTATTTAGGACCATTTAGCTTCCCAGCTCGCACTTATTATTTCTCTTATATTAAAAAGTTATAACCTAGCACAAATTTCAGTTATAAAAAAGTTAACCGTGAGCTAAATAAAGAATCATTAATTATCACAATTACAAATTTTGAATATGGCGGGATGGGCAGCCTTGGCCGGGTTGAGTGCTAAAAACAATTCTTATTTTTTATAACTGGCCTCCAGGATTAACGTTGGTTAAAAATACCTTTGCAAAATTCTTACAGAAAAATTGAATGAAAAGAAGAATTTGACGTTTGAAGTATCACATCATGCTTCTTCTTTGCTACTTTTTCTTTAAATAAAATAATATAACAACTGCAACAATAAAGATCATTTTGTATTGCGATAATTATTACAAATGATAAAAGTCATTTTCATATTAAAATAAGCGTGTTTAATCTACTGTATGTCTTGTACCATTTCTGATTTATTGGATATAATAGTACCTGGCAACTCCTGCTTATTGGCCGTAGAGCTAGAGGGCTGTTTCCCTGCTGACAGGTCTGTGAGTAAAACAAAATAGAATAAAAATTTAAAAAATATTTGGAGAAAATGTTTATCAATCTGTCAGTTTTTTTACTACTCACATTTTAGTTTCTGGGTCTGAATAATAAAGTTTCAATAACAAAAAGCACTGAGCAGCTTGTCTTCGAACTAAAGCTTACACCTTAGCTTTTACTGAATTGTTCACTAAATGATGTCTGGTCGCAGTGTGCACAATTTTAGACAATAAATTTACGTTTTAAACTTGGTTATGTAGGATTTCAGCTGTACACTGAGTTGATTCTGAAAGGCATCTAGTAAGCAGTTGCAGTTCAAAAACATTTTCAAAACAGGAAAAAAAAAAAACTAAAATATTTCCTGGGCCTTTCAAAAGCATAGCAATCAACCAGAGAGAGGGTAGAGTTCTAGAATGATCTAAAAGCAGAAAATAAAGCCTGCAATGCAGAGAGCTTACTGGTTAGGGTTCAGGGCTATTACCATGGTTTTAAGTTGCTGAGTAGGGAATAGAACATCCTGAAAATTCTTTCAGTCCTATTTTCCTATTATTTCCTATTAAAGTGACCAAGGGTCATGCTCATAGCAGCCAGGAGAAATCCATGCTTGTTAACCCTAACTGAAATCCCTGTAAAGTTGGTTGCCATTGTTCTCAGCGAGTGGGGGAAGGCGAGGGAGAAGGAGATACTATCCTATTAAACAACTGAGGTGCTACTCAAATAAAAAATTCAAAAAGTATCCCTAGAAGGTACAGGAATCTTCCTTTGTCAGCATGGAAGAAATTCATTTTAAGCTCTATAAAAGAGTCCTCCTTTTTTTTTTTTTTGAACTGCTTTCCAAAAAATATTAAAGATAACAGGAGTGCTTGTCAAAATAAATAAATAAATAAATAATATTAAATAAAAATCATACCTAGAGGGTAGGAGAATCTTACTTTGTGGGCATGGCAGAAATTCACTTTAACCCCTGGGAGATACCAAAAGGAGGAGATACCCCTCTATAGATATAAATGGGGAGCTTAAAAAACAACAACAACAGAAACAAACAAACAAACAAACAAAACCAAAAAAAAAACAGGGGTTTTGTAAAAAAAAAATGAAAAGTACCCCTACAAAGTAACAGAATCTAGCTTTGTGGGCGTGTAGGAAATTAATTTTAATGCCTAAGAAGTATCAAAAATTACTTGAGAAACAAAATAATTCCCACCCAACCTTACAGGCCCCTAACAGATATCACTGAAGCTCTAAACAAGAGTCATTTTAGACTTTAGGTTCCTAAGTATGCACTTACCCAGAACCAACCCACAAATCTTACTGCCTAAAATAGTATGATGAGCAGACAGTCAATTTTATCAGGAAACATCTCCCTCCCGTCCTTCTGACCAATTTCTTCACATTTTTCTGACAATTTTTCTTTTACCCATCTTATAGTTTCCAACAGTTGTGAGTTGACAAAGAAAACGTTGAACTCTACCCTTTTTAAAGTTTATTATAAAAAGAGATTAATAATATTAACGATGTTTGAAAAATGTGGCTGAGTATTTTAAATCAACCTCAGTACTTAACCAAAAACACTTCTACAAAAATGTGAAGATTTAATTATGATATGGTTTGATTAAAGAGCATATTGTCACCTACCTTCATAATGAGGCCATTGTTCAAACACAAATGGATCCTTCAACATGTTGGACACAAGAGAAGCTGCCATTATGCATGCATGACTCTCCCAAGAATTTTCTGCAGGGTTGGTACCATCGGCAAAGTGAGAAATACCTTTTACAATCACCCATTCAATCTTAAGATCATGTGCGGCAGCAAAAAGGCCTGGAAAAAACAACAACAAATCACTAAAAATTCAAGATGCAAACAGATCCACCAGTGAGCATCACAGCCAGGGTTGATCAAGATGTGACAACATAAACAATATTATTTACCATGCAAACAGGTAGGCAGAATATAGTAATAGTGATTTTAAAAGGCAGATATAAATCAGCATATTTAAAAAATTAAAAAAACAGGACAAACAAACAAAAAACCAGCTTATGCATTAGGATGTTAATAGAATTTAACTATCCTTTTGTATTTTATCCAAAGGAAAACACTACATAAACTACTGTCCTCCGATCAATTTTTTAGGCATAATTTAGTATAGAAAATACAGCAAGTTACACAAACATAAACATCATTGTTCCAACATAGAATAGATCTTAAAAAATCAGATTGAAAACAGGATCACAAAGGATCATAACCAGCACCCATTTACACACCTGGATGGAGGAAGGAAACAGCAAAGTGCAGCAAGGTCTTAACCTGGACCCTCTAGATCTAAACTTTGAGATGTACACCATGGGCCCCCACTCCTCTCGTAAGAAAATGTAACAAGAGAGGAATGATGTCATTTAACAGGGAATAAATATCTTACCTTCACCACCAAATGCTAATGCAGTAGCTTCAGTAAAATGTGACACGTTTTGCTGTTTAGCACTGACTGGGTTTATGCCACTTAGAATCTCTCCATTACAGCAGACCTGAACTTTATGATCTTCTGGATTTCTTAATGGAGGAATCCAACCATGATCTGCAGGCCTGATGAGGCGCAAAATATCTCTACTCACTGGGGTTTTGAATGATTCAGTTGTAAGCTTAGAGGATACCACCACATCACCTAGCTGTAACTTGGTGACTTCTGGGTTCAACCCACCACAGCAGCCAACATAGAAAACAGCTTTGGGTCTCAGTTCCACCACAGCATTCTTAACAGTGACCAGCGAGCCATCTGGAGCAGAAGAGCCTTCAGAACATGTCATCAAAGCAACTTTTAGGGGCACATCTCCATTTTCACCCATGTTCCCAAAGTACACATATCCAAGGTTCTTGAGGTAGCTTTTAAAGGAATTTCTCAAGTATGCATAACAGGCTAGGAACTCACAGTCATCCACTGTCAACAAAAGAATGTCAATTGGAAGATGGACTTCATTCCAAGGTTTGAATGTGTTAGGAAGATCACTTTTCTTGGGAAGTTCTAGGGTGAGTGCAGGTGGAACATCTGCCATATTCTTATGAGCACTATCTCCTTTTCCTATTAAGCTCTTGATGCTGTGCCACCGCGTCTAGATAAACAATTTCCCTAAAATGTCAAACAGCAAGATCACAAATTAAATTAAAGTTGCACAATGTTAGAAAGATAAGATTATTAACAAAAATCTCTTCCTCTCACAGATAATTGTTTTGTTAAACCTCCTGTAACTATACACCCTTAGGACCAGAAAGTGTGTTTGCTTAGGAAAGGCATCCACTTAGTATAGGGTCATTCCGCTTAAAAAGAACCTATATAGACTGACTTCCCTCTAAGTGAAATTCAATAGGAAACACCGCCAACTGGTTAGCTCAGTTGGTAGAGCACCGGACTGCCTTGTGGGAGGCCTCAGGTTCGAGCGCCAGACCAGACCAAAACTCAGGAGAACATGCTGCCTTTGCAATGACACCTGCAATGGTAAGATGTTCCTGTCTTCTCGGATAAGGACAATTAATCATAGGCCACGTCTCCTGCACCTTCAATGTTATATAGTCTGCAACTAAAAAGTTAAAGAACCATGCACACACTTGTTGTAACAAGTAGGGAACGGAGTTCCCAGTGTAGTGGTCTGGCCTTGTTTCGCGGGTTGGTGCTTCACACGGGGTTAACCTCATTGCACCTTTCCCCCTTTGAACAGAATTGTCCGAGAAAAATGAGTACGAGTATGAATAGGTCAGTTGCATGATGACATCATTTCACTACAACTACCAGCATCCCTCAGTTTGCTGTTTTCTTGTGCAAATTAGGACGTAATTGTTTATTTAAACCTCAGTGGGATAGAGAAATTTAAATAAGAAAGCAATAACAAAAGGAATTCTGGAAGTTGTAGTCAAATATTGTCATCATGAAAATGGCCTCTTCGTACCTAGCCTCAAGGATCGATTTTAGGTCCATTATTGTTTTTGTAATACATTAATGACTTGTGTAATGTGTCAAAGGCCTTGGATTTCATACTTTTTGCCGATGATACCGACACAATTTTTTCCTCATAACGACCCAAATCAACTGATGGAAATTGTGAATATGAATTGAAGAAACTATCAAGCTGGTTTCAGGCTAATAAGCTTTCTATTAACATAAAAAAATCAAATTTTATTCTATTTAAAACAAAACAAAACAGGCAAAAACTTGACTTACATTTTTCAATTAATGATATTGAAATTGATTGTGTAAATGAAGTTCTGTTCTTGGGAGTTATACTTGATGAACACTTATTTTGGAAATCTCAAATACAGAACGTAGCAAGAAAAGTCTCAAAATCAGAAGGCATTACTTAAAAATCAAGTTTCTGCCTTAATAAGACCTCTTCATGTATTCTCTATTATAGTTTAGTTTATCCTTATTTACATCAGAAACGGGTTATTAGAATAGTTTCCAGGAGTTCTTTTGATTCATGTGCCAATCCTATTTTTGGAAGCTTACGAATTCTAAAAGTTAAAGATATTATCAAACTCCAAATAGGTAAAGTTACATGTACCTTCTTCCAGTTTCAATGACATGTTTTTGCTTAACTGTGATGTACATTCACATAACACTAGAAGTAAGAATTCTTTCCGTTTACCCTACCGCAGGACAAATGTAAGGAAATTTTCACTTCGTTTTCAAGGGCCCAAAATATGTACTCCCCTTAGCTCTGAAATTCAGAATGATGCTGTTTTGTTTAGTTCTAAACTTAAGTCATTTTTTCTTGGTATAAACACACTTAAGCTCTCCCAATGCTAGTGTGTAGTTTTTCGCTTCTTTCACTTTTTTTTCTCCTTTATTCTTGCATTATTTTTTCTCACCTTTTCTTTCTCGTTTTTGCACTTACACGTGCAGCCTTTTCTATTTTTATCCTAATTAATGATTATTTTCTATGTTCCAAAAAAATTGTCCGTACTTAGAGTTAAATTGCAGATGTCAGTATTGTAATTATTAATTAGATAACATAAATTTAAAGGTGGCCCTAAAAACCTGTGGTAGGGCATTTTCTTTGTTTTTTTTTGTTTTTGTTTTTGTTTTGTTTTTTTCAGGGAAAGTCAAGCGGTGAATGCCGTTAAGTTCATACAGTAGTCAACAAAAACGTCACAGATTTTAAAGACCAAGTTAGTGATGTTGTTATTGTGAATCTGCCTTATCGTTGCCGTGTGATACCTTCGTTCAAACCGTCACATCAAACAAATTAATAATTCAATGAAAACAGTAGTGGAGCAATAGAATTCTGTATTTACTGGAAGTGGTCAAAAGTATAGGAATTGATTCTGTGGCAACAAATCTTTCATGGTCTTTCATCTGTTTGCAAAAAGACAAATTTAAAATTGTCATAATATTATTTTTTTACACACTTTCATGCAGTTGAACTTGATCCGAAATCAAAGAAAACAATTCTACCTGGTACTAGCAAGAAAGCGTGAAAGAAGAAATAGCTGACATCCATACTGGTGACAAGTAACAACACGTCCTCATCTCAGCTGTCAAGTCTTTCTCTGTTCATTCTTTACTTGATTCATTAAAAGAAGTACAGTTTTTTTCTTTTAAGACCTAGCTTGCTTGCTTGCTTGTCTTTTAAAACCTGAGCTTGCCGTTCAAAGAATTCCTCGATCATCTTGTGGTTTCTGTCATGAAGAGACGAAGGTGACAAAACCTATCTAATAGCTCCGGCAGTCAGATATGTTGCTTGACCAGTCAGTGCAGGGCTCCGAAGGATCTTTTATTTTTTGACCAATCAGAGAAAAGTCCAGATGCTGGACTATGGGCAGACGACGAGTAAACTAAATGTATCAGGCATCCGTCCTTTTGTGAAAATCACAACATTACTATGGGTTGCATCTAAGCGTGGACACGAGACAAAAAAACATGTTCTAACAGAAGGGTGCCAGACATGATGTGTTTTGCTGCCAAACATTTGAAGTTTGACAGCTGTTAAAGCAAACTGTCGCACCAAAGGTAAGTAGTTTATATGTTTTTGACCAGCTCATTCTATTTATATTTCATTTTTCTCAACTTTCAGGCATATTTATTACTCAGAAACAGCATACTTTCCTCCAGAAATTATTCTTTATGCCTAAGAACTTTTGCAAAGAATATTTTGTTGGGCAAAAACAAATCAATTTGACAACAGCCTACTCCAAACTTTGATAAAGTTTGCAACTGACGGTAAGTGAGAATAAGTTACAAGATATTTGCATTTCTTTCCCATCCCATTACTTTACTTCTGGTTATTTGCTTCGAACTCCCGATAACTTGAACTGTTTTTGATTTCCCTTGAAGGTTCAAGTTATCAGGAGTTGACTGTATGATGGGTGCAAATTTAATACCACTCTCTTAAAGTATCCTTTGCCAATTTATGCTCAATTACAATTTCTTCAATTTGTACAGCCAAAATAAAATTCAAAGAAAAATACAATGTAGCAAGCACTCTTGCATATTGAGGAATGTTTTCTCTCTATGCTACACTCAGTAAAAATCATTTACTTAGTCATCATGTACTGTTTCCTTAGAGGTTGTTGCCAAGTTTACAAAACCTAAAGCAAAAATTATTTCTTCAATAACACTGACATTCTTTTTCCTTATGTTTGACATATCTCCATCCCATCACTGAGAATTTGTTGATTTTTTGTCTGCAATTACATAGCAGGAGTACTAGAATTTGTTGACAGCAGAATTATTTTTTTAAATTCAACTTTGTGAATAAGGATTTTGTGAACATGTAGTACAGTAAAACTAGTTTATTCTCCTAAATATTTTGTTTAGGCAACATGCACTTCTCCATGCTGCTCACGAAGTTTATTTTAAACAATTTCCAATATTTTGCTGTTCTCCTACAAGGAGTATCTCAACTTCATTTTTAATGTCAGCAAACTAGCTGAGGTCCACCATCTCTAATAACTTTCCTGCCAGCAAATTGCCAGGGTATTTTTGAGGACTAACAAAAGCAAAGTCTTTCATTCTACTTGTCTAACATATCACATAAAAGAGAACTCTGACTGTAGAGAAATACCATTTTAGATTGGTATTGTAAGAGAATACCTTTGTTTGTTAAAATGAAATTAATTCCATCAGTAGTCTTTCACTCCAAGTCAGCCCAACTGTCTCGGTCAGCCATGCAGTTTAACTGAAATAAATGGCAAAAAGTAAGGCAGCGCATGGGGTGGGTTGGGGATATGATTGTCTGTGTTGGCCTTGGGGTGGGGCATTAAAATGATCTTGTTCTCCCGGCGGAGGGGATATTTGAATCTTTTTTTGTTCGACATGCTCTAGGATCAACTAAACGTTAAATAAATTGCTGTATCAAAGCAAACAGAAGCTCTATTTTCAAAACTGAAAACTCTATCAGGTTGAAAACGTTCAGAGAGGTTTAATTTTGTCTTTAAAGGCCCATTGCCAACCTTGATGCATTGCGCCAGAAAACAGAGTTCCCTGACTTTTCCCTGACCTTGAAAAATTTTCATTTTTCCCCGACCATAGCGACCTGATAAAACTTATCAGCGCTAGGAAATTTTTGTGCATTTGACTGGAATGATTTGCTCGTGGGCAAGGAATTTCACAAGAAATTTTTGAAAAATGTCAAATCCCCACACCATGCCCTGCCTCCCCCACCCCCCCCCCCCCCACACTGCCTTTACATTGATAGGTAATGTGGTCCCTTTTCAACTTATTCGGGGTAGGGATATTTGGTCACACATGGTACATTTTTGTCTGGGATTAACCATAATTCCAATTTTAATAAATTTTGACTTACACATTATCAGGACATAACAAATCAATATTTTCGATACTCGATTAAAATAGATAGTAATCAATCAAAATCAATTATAATTTATTGATTAATATCGAAAGTTGATGGAAATCGATCGGTCAAGTTTTTGTGATCATCGATTTTATCGATTTCTGCAATTAAATGATCATTTTAACGGTTTTGATTGCTAAATATCGAAAAGATAAAAATGGGTGAAGCAGAGTTCGTTGATTCGTTTTTCTGTTGCGTTTAGTCCACCATCACTCGCTAGAACTGATAAACAGCAACTCGTAACTGATATTAAACTCAATAAACAT